CAGTGAATGATGCTGACGTGTACTACTAAACACGTCTGAAGCCATACTGCGCCGCCATCCCATGTGCAGCGTGGCTCGATTAAGTGTGCTGCTGGTGGAGGCGGGTAATACGCTCGAACCGCAAGGGTGTGTACCCTTGTAGACGCTTTGATCGCCTCGGCGGCGAGCTGTTCTAGGTCTATGAACTTGCATTCCTTGAAGTGTGCCGCAAAAGTCTCGTGCTCTTGCCATGTAACACGCTCAACATTTTCTGTGTTGGTGGTGAGAGGTTTAGCGAGATGATACAGTTCGTCCACTGCCTGTGCATACTGCAGCAAGGATGCGTTTAGATGCTGGGTGCGGAGCACCAACTCACTATGCAACCGCCACTCATAATTATCCGGAAGGAATTCGCCGCAGAAGCTGTCACGAAACTCCTCTACCGTGTGGACGCGATATCCGGTTAACCGGAACCATCGAGCCACTTGCTCTGTGAGTGACACTGGGACCACGGGCTCGAGAAGTTTGGCGTCAGAAAGCTCCGTTGCTAGCTGATAGTGGAGCAACCGGTCGAGAAACTGTTTGGCGCTCTTCCAGTTGTGGTAGCCAATGTAGGTAGGCATGTATAACTTGAGGCGTTGGCCCAGATTCTGCACAGGGGCCTGCACTGTGTTCTGTAGGGCACTGGCCAGGCTTTGCATAACTGACAGTGTATTCTGCAAGAGTATCTTGCTCGGGGGCAACTTATTGCCCGAAGACTTGCCTGCAGTTGCGGCGTGTGTTCAAGCAACTTGTGGCGGTGCCTCTCTCGCGTCACGATGTGACGGGGCGGAAGGCATGGTGCTTTCTGTCGTAGGCCTAGTCCCTGCTAATGCGGTCTCTGCAACATCCTGGTCATCCCGCATGAAATGAGCACTATCTATCTACACTGTCCGAAAGCCCAAAAAGTGCCCCCGCTCTAGCCAAAGGATCGATAATCTGCGACGCAACGTCAGACAACATGAACAAATCTTGGAATTCTGACATGCCTGTTGTTCTATGTTGACGGAGCGTCGGTAGTCGCCTGTGTCCACAAAACTAGTGGTGTTGCCACATTAATTTGTTGGGCGCCAGATGAAGGGGGTTCGCACAATGTACGCTGGTGCAGAAGCCTAGCTAATGTTCCAGCCGCACACAGTCGTACCGTGCATGATTAACGTCCCCATTCTGTACCTCTGGTTGTCATAGCTACGATGAGTTCGGGTGAACAAGGCAACAGGCTAGGTCAACAAAACAACCCTTTATTGCTATATTAGCAACAACGCGTAAATGTTGTGCAGAGGGACTGTCCGCTCTATGAAGATAAGAAAGAGTTTACAGTTACGTCTTTTGACTTCGATTGCCTTGGCTCACAGGGAAATCCGGGTGTTGTCCTCTCTGTATGGTGGCCGGTTCAAGAGAGAGCATCTTGCTGTGGGCATGCGCAATTTGACCAACCTCTCGGTTTTCATCACCCCAACGAAGGTTGCTTCCCTCTCTGAGGGAGGGTAACCCGTTTCCTGAGCTGGGAAAGGGGAATGGCACTCGCCGGCCGTTTAGGTGAACGGGCCCTTCGAGAGAGGCTTCATTGTCCCTGTCTCAAAGGGACCGACGTGTCCTCGCAATTAGGCGGCCGCACTGCCTTAAAAGGGAAAGGAGGAATGGGCGCTCGTGCTTCTCCACAGAAAATAAGCTGTTTTATGCAAGAAGTGTGCAGCCAACCTTTGTTTCACACATTGAAAAACTTTGTGTGATGGCATTATTATATCTTTGTATGTATGTAACTTTGGTACTTGCAGAACTTATTCAAAAAGTATATTTTCAATTTTTTGTTGGTGTTTGCTCTGGGCAAAGCAGCATTCAGCTGTAAGGAATTTTCTTAATGCTACATTTGTTTTGTTTAGATAAATATTTGACAACATTAAAAATAAATTTATTGAAAAAATACTTTTGGAAACAACAGTTCTTCCTTTACAATTTGATACCCTGCACTTAAGCATCAATTTTTGTGGCTGGAAATAAATATTTTGTGGACTGCTCAAGAATCAGCTTTTTTCGGTGACAAAACTGTTCAACAGCCACGATAACTCTTTAACCATCTCATGTGCTCTGAACCTTGTTTTTAATTCATGTGTATTTAATCTACAATGTGATAAAATCATCTGCATTGTAATATAGGCATTGGTATCAATGAAGCTATACCTGGTTTGTCTTTACTGAAGGTTAGAACTCAGCTCAGCCATTTTCTGAGCTCTGTGCCACCACGAAAGTTTTGGCTGTTGGCCACTCACATTTTCTTTGCCGATAACCTGGAAAAGGCAACAAGCTGGCAGAGGAACTAAAGCTTATGCACTTATAGTGTTAATATAACAGACTCTAGAGGAAAAACTGGTCCGGAAAAGGTAACAAAGCACCGGGTTCGAGCTCCCACTTTCCAATTGAGATCAAGACTTCTTGTCCAGCAAGACATGACGGTAGTGCATCACAATACCGTGCTTCTCACATTGAACATCTGAGACTTTGCGTTTGGCCGTGAGCTTTTTATCTTTGCAACGCAAAGCTTGGTACCACTTTCTAAATTGCGCCTGATTTCTTCGGAAGTCTGTCACTGTCAAAAATGATTGGTTTATACCCCAATCAAGACTGAATGATGACAAGCAACTGATTTACTTTACTATGCCTGATTTAAAAGTTCTTTTATAGTAACATAGTCTTAAATCTTTCAATCATCTAGTCACTCTCCCGGGCTTTTTTTGTTGGAGGTATGAACCACCTTTCAGTGTGTGCTTTGATCATGCTCCCAAATTAAGAGCTGGAATAAACAACTGTCTCTTGAGCTAACTTACATTTGTAATGTTTATGCGTTGTATATTATTTGAACGTGATAGCTTTAACAAGCCCATTTCAAAGAAATTTCGGTGTTGGCGTTGCTGTCAGCGTCTCGGTTGTGAGTGAGGAAACAACATCTTTTCCGTGCCAAAAAAAAATCAAGAAACCTGTCAATAAAAAAACACTTCAGTATGAGTCTGAGTCGAACCCAGGCTCTCTGCGTGGCAATCAGGTGTTATACCATAGAGGCACGCCAATGGTCGAAACTGATTCGGAAAAAAAAAAAAAAAAACTATATGAATTTCATGTAGTAGAAGTTTTCATTAATATTGTGTCTAGTCAAAAAAGCGAGGCCTTATGTTTACACTTCTTTTGTTCATGTAGTAGAAAAAATTTCTTCAATCTACGCAATATTGAGTGGTAAAAGCATATAATTGCGTGTGGCATCTAAAAATGTTAAATGCACGAGTGGTTGTTAGAAAGGTCCAGCCATTACAGGCCGCTTAAACTTATGTTCACTTGTTGCTTTGCACACTCGTAAAAGCCCCTTTGCTGATTCGAAAGGAACAATTATGGCGCAGTGGGCACTTCGCAACTGTACTTGCTGTAGACATTCTACGATAGTTTGAAACAGCCAGTGTTGCACGCACAATTGTTGTTTCTCTCATGGTACGGTTGAGGCATACACAAAGACCGAAGCTAGGCTAGTAATTGAAAAGGTGATTCGCACTGGACCTGGTTACGCTATTGCAGTCTACTTTTGAAAACGAAGCTCAAGTGTCCTCGAGGATTTGTAATTTTTGTGTTTGTAACTGTTGTGTAATTGTTGTCACACAATATACATAATACTGAATGGCGTCACTTGTGTCATATTCATCAATTGCTACCACATGTAATAATAATAATAATAATAATAATAATAATAATAATAATAATAATAATAATAATAATAATAATAATGGAATTATAATTTTTATTTGCACTACAATATGCAAGGCTAGACAGCCAATTCGCTTACGATTCATCTGCTAGCCCGTCACTGCTGGACGAAAGAGATCAGATGCTACAAATGTGAGGTTCTAAAGTAGCTTATAGTAGCTTTTATGTTGGCCCGCACCACTGTGTTACCATGTTTACAAAGAAAATAAATAACTAATAAAGAAACAAACGAACAAGTTTCGTGAACTGGAGTCGTCATTGCGGTCGCCGTTGTGTGAGCCTGATGCAAAGCTAGTCCGCGTACCTCAATGTAGGTAAATCTGCTCTCCCTCGCAATGCCTCATACATGACAAACGTGTTTTCGTACAAGAAACTACGCAGAGGCAGAAACAGTCCGAGAAGTGACGTGGGAATATAGCACACCGTTTGCGGTTGCTGCTTGAACGTTGCCACCTCCAATCACAACACGTGCGACCCGGACCGCTGGAGCAAGATCGTACTCCAGCGCCACAAATTGTCGTGACCGCCACGTGGCCCACCTCTCCGGCAGAGCTTTCAAACTGAGTTTATTCTAGTAACGTTGGCTACGAGTAGTGCATTGTCTTGATTAGGGCATGGTCATGTGTCCTCCTTTCTCTTGTGTGCTATATTATTTGCACCACCCTAAGTTATCATGGACCATTAAAACGTGCACTTTTAATTTTACCTAGCAAGTCACTTGATGGGCACTTCTTACTCTTCCCTAAAGATCCAAATGACAGACCTATTGACATATCCATCCTATACTTTGCCAGGGTGTCAGTCTCTTTGATGTGATGCCAGGCCAGTTCTCTTCCACATATCATGTGCATGAAATACATATCTAAACTGTATTGTTTACAGAGAAGCAGTGGGATCTTGCCCAACTTGCACCTGAAAACACAATTTGTTTGCACTGCAGGATCAGGTCAGTTTGTGCTTCTTGTTTATGCAAAAGCCAGTGGAGCCTTGAACCCGCTCCTCTGTACACTAGAATTAAGTTTCTTCTTCTTATTGTGCTCCCTTGGATGTGCTTTCTCATTATCCAGAAGGACATTACGGGCACTTGGCCCAATTAGAAGTAACCCCTCAAACATACGAGCAGGCCTGGCAGAAAGCTTGTTTGGCTTACATTAGCGCAGGTGAATTCTCAAGTGCAGGGATGTACAAAGCAGAGAAGGTGTAATGTGAAAATGAGTAGCTGTGCTTGTTTTCAGCATGTGCAGATGCGGAGGCCCGCGTGTTTGTTCTCCTCAATGGCCTGGAGCTCCACATCTACAACCGGTCCGAGCTGTACGCCCGCCTGGAGCACCTGTTTGGCCTGGAACCTAGTGTCCTGCCGCCGCCTTGTGAGATGCCGCCCAAGAAGCCAGAGGAGCCTAGCAGTGCAGTGCAGCAGTGTCACCCCTGGCGGGACCTTGTTCCGGTTGTTAAGGTTCGAGCGCAGATGTATTTTATCCACGATGAGACACTGTGGCCTTAGACATGTCTGCATGTGACCAATTAGTAGGCATCTCTATAACTTCACCATGAAATGCTTCTGCAGAGAGAGGATTTTGTCATGCTGTGCTCGGAAAATGAACAAGTAGAATGGCTTTTTGAATTTTCGTGAACATATTGCTTGTAAAATTGGGTTTGTACAGCAAAAATCAGTTTTGAACATAGTTTGTACTATGTAATGACTTATTTACCATATTTGCTCTCATAATAGGTGCACCTCCAGTTTGGTCATAAGAGATAAGATTTTTTTTATTTACGCGCATAATAGGTGCACCCCAAACTTGGCTGTGATCAGTAGTTCTGTACCGTGCTCGCTCGGTTGCAATTCGACCTCCTCTTACATTAATTAGAGCTAGGAAAAAGAAAAAAGAAAAGACCGTGACAGCGCTGCAATATCGCCACGAGCTCGCCGAGCGATGAAAAAAGGGCGGTTGCTTGGGTGTCAGAGTAACCTTTGCATCGGCGCTGGTATGGCTCCGGCCGCTAGCTTGTCTGCTTGTGCTTCACATGGAACATGCGATCATGTGCATGTCAATTGCGCATTGAGTTTCCTGTTGGAAAAAAGCGTTGTAATCATGTCGTCCACTAATTTAAAAGCGTTTTGGCTTTCCGATGGGAGCTTTTGCCTTTGCTGCCACTACGTGGACTTGCGCAACCTCAGCGGACTTCTGTTGCCGTTGATTTCCTGGCCACGAACTTAAACATCGTTTCACGCGTGCTACTCCTGGAGCAGTGCTTGAGTGCAATATTTTCGATTCCCAACCTTCATGTTGTCTCGTACAAACTTCCTGCGACAACATGCCAAATTATAGGGTACGCCTAATCACAGCAGTCGCGGGCGATTGAAGCTGCGGTATTGTGCAGAGTCAACTTAACTTTTTTTGGTGGCTCTACTTGAAAAAAGGGGCTTAGGTGGCACTTGTAAAACTCAAATAGTGGTTTGCAATTATATTGCAGTGTCTTGCATATGGTTTGCAAGCCCGTGAAATCCAATGATCGGTATACTGTTGAGCGCACAACATCTTAATATAGGTGGCCTGGAACGTAAGTGGCGAATTATTGAGGTGGTGCTTTCTTTTGGTAGTTTTTTTTGCTTTCATTTTGGTGGCAGCGTGGGTATTTTGATGCTAATTTTTAGTGATTTGAATGAGCACCGCGAACATTCCATGATTCTCACACACGCCAGACTGCATACTTAACACATTTTCTGCTAGTGCCCTGGTGTAGCCTATAGAGAAGGTTGTTCCGGCTGTAGTGCGGATATTCGTAGCTTCGGCGATGAATACTTTACCTATAGTGTATGCTGTAGTCAGATATGTAACTTTGGAAAATTGACCCTGTGTAATAGGTGCACGCTGAACTTGGAGCCGAATTTTATAAAAAAAAAAAAGTGTGCCTGTTATGCGAGTTGATATGGTGTTCGATAGCCTATTTATTTGATGGTTGACCTAATGGTCGACCCAGCATTCTATACATATTTCTTTATTTCTGTACATAAACTTCAGTAGCTTATGTATCATTATGCCCTGTTTTCTAATATACAAATATTTGTTACTTAAATTTGTAGCTTTTAAAGGGACACTAAAGAGCAACTATGACTTGTTTTAGATTGACAAATCAATTCAAATCAATTGATTCAAACTAACAAAATCTAAACCAATGAGATCTAATTGAATTGGTTTCAATCCAATTAGATTGACTTGGTTTGGTTTGGGATTAACTGCCTTATGTTTCGCTATCATACATTCATTGTTAGCGAAGAAAATCAAGGTGGAAGTTTCATTTTTAAATCTCACGCCAAAATCTCTGGGCCAGATCTATAGAATTACAAAATGTATTTTCGATATTTTTGTGGCATTCACTCAATGAAATTTTCTGAAACTTATAACAAGTCTATGGCACCCCCAGATTACAGTGTAAAGTCGACGTCCGATTTCTCAGACGCCCGAAATCAGCTGTGGCCCCTTCAAGTTCTCCATAGAGTCAATGTATTAAAAAGCCATGATGATGCGTTGAAAGCTTCTATTAAGACGTGGAATTGGCAACGAGTAAGGTAAAAAACACAGTACCGTATTTACTCGCGTAATGAATGCACTTTTTTTTTCTCGAAAAATCTAAGCAAAGCTTGGAGGTGCATTTATTACGCGAGGTAAATTTTATGAAAACTTTTTCGGGAGGAGCAAAAATGCGGTAATGCGAAGAAAAAGTTGGGTAGCTTAGCCTTTTGCTTGGCATACGCGTACGGTGTTTGGGAATGGCTTCTTTGTTGCACTTCATTCACTTCGCTGGTTGATGGCACTATCATCTGCAAGCTGTCCCTGAACTGCCAGCGCATGCCATAAAAGGGTTTCGTGGCTATCTTTTCTCACAATCGTTTAACCGCAACGGTGGTATCTGCTGTGATCTCGAGGGGCACCCAAAAACGTGCGCTATGATACACTTTGAGAACTTTGCGGCGAATTCGCACGACGACCACGAAACGCCATTGATATTGCCACGAGTAACTTCTTTAATAATCTCTTCACAACACACAAAACTTGATGAGCAAGATGGCGCCAGTCTAGCATAAACCCAAAAACTAACTTCGTCTGCCTCTTTCATGCAGCCGTGTTTAGCGGCTGTTATGTATTATGTCCCTTGGCGGTAGAAGCACCGTCCCTGTGCTAAATCTACGCAAGTGATGTTGAAGGGGTGTAATATGGCTTTAGCCGAGCCATGTGAATGATGTCGCTCGGAGCTGACGATGGCTTTGTTGGATCGCTTGGTACAATCTTGTACGTGACGTCTGTCACTTGGCGAACGATATGGAATGGTCCAGTGTAGGGCGACATCAGCTTCTCAGACAGTCCCACATGCCGAGTGGGTGACCAGAGGAGCACGAGAGAACCCGGGGAAAAGTGCACGTTCCTATAGTGAGAATCGTAGAGCTTTCGTTGGTGCGCCTGTGAGGCCTGTAGACGGTTACGGGCGACTTGGCGTGCATGGTCGGCGCGGGCGATGGCTTCCCCGGCATATTCAGTGGCCACAGGTAGCAAAGTGTCCAAGGGTGGAGTTGGGTCCCGGCCATATAGGAGATAGAAGGGCGAATAGCCGGCAGTGTTGTGACGGGATGAATTGTAGGGGAACGTCACATACGGCAAATGAATGTCCCAATCCTGGTGGTCTGGCGCAACCTATTTAGCAAGCATATCGGTTAGGGTCCTGTTGAGGCGCTCCGTGAGGCCATTCGACTGGGGATGGTACGAAGTAGTGAATTTGTGCTTGGTATGGCAAGACCTCAGGATTTCGTAGACAGCTTATAAGAATGTGCGGCCACGGCCGGTGAGAAGTTGACAGGGAGCACCATGCACGAATATTACGTCGTACAGCACAAAGTCCGCAACGTTGCTAGCGCAACTGGTCGGGAGTGCTCGTGTGATTGCGTACCGCGTCACGTAGTCTGTGGCAACAGCAATCCATTTATTTCCGGCTGTGGAGCGTGGAAAAGGCCCCAACAGATCGAGACCAACTCGAAAGAAAGGTTCAGTGGGAACGTCGATCGGCTGAAGGTAGCCGGCTGGGAGGGCAGACGGCGTTTTGCGACGCTAGCAGGGCTCACAAGCGGGCACATAGCGTCGAACAGAGCGGGCAAGTCCGGGCCAAAAAAATCGATGTCGTACCCGATTGTATGTGCGAGAAACGCCCAAATGGCCCGTTATGGGAGCGTCATGAAGTTGGTGCTGGACAGTAGAACGCAGGTGCGTTAAGATGACAGGAAGTAAGTCTGATTTCGAAGGAATCAAACTTACTTTCTGTAACCTTGATTCCTTCGGAATCAAGGTTACGGCGGTATAGGATCCAGTCTTTCACCAAAAACATTCATAGGGACGAGTCGCGAGGTGTGACTCCAGTTTGTCAATGATGGCTCATAAAGAAGCATCCCGACGTTGCTCTTTGCCAATGTTCAGCAGCTGCGACACTGAAAAAAACATGCGCAATAGCGTCAGTATCGGTTGCTTCGTCCACAGGGTAGTGGGATAAACAATCCGCATTCTGATGTAATCGCCCTGTTTTATGCATTACAGAGAACATGTATTCTTGGAAGCGTAGGGCCCAACGAGCGAGATGTCCTGTGGGGTCATTCAGGGAGGCTAGCCAGCAGAGCGCGTGATTATCCGGGACAACACGATATGGACGAAACTTGGCGACTGCCCATACAAAGGCGAGGCACTTGCGCTTGGTGATGGAATAGTTGCGCTCGGCTGGATATAAGTCGACTTGCGTAGGCTATAACACGGTCGTGTCCCCGTTGGTGCACAGCTCCTATGCCGTGTCCACTGGCGTCCGTGTGAACCTCGGTTGGGGCTGATGGATCAAAGTGAGCCAAGATTGGTGGCGTTGTAAGCAGTGTCGTAAGTTGCAAAAACTATGACGCTTGGTCATGGCCCCAGATAAACGAGGCGTCTTTCTTCAAGAGGTCTGCTAGGGGGCGTGCAATGTTCGCAAAGTCCTTAACAAAGCATCTGAAATAGGAGCACAACCCCACAAAACTGCAGACATCCTTTGTGGTCCTCAGAACGGGAAAGTTTGTGACTGCGCGAATTTTCTTTGGGTCTGGACGCACGCCTTGGGCATTGACCAGGTGACCGAGCACGAAAATTGGATGACGAGCGAAGTGGCACTTGGAGGCGTTAAGCTGGAGTCCGGCTTGACGGAAAACGTCCAGAATAGCTGTTAAACGATCGAGATGTGAGTAGAATGTGGGCGAAAAGACAATATTGTCAACGTGACACAAGCAGGTGGACCATTTCAACCCTTGGAGCAATGAGTCCATCATTCTTTCAAATGTGGCTGGCACATTGCAGAGATCAAAGGGCATCACCTTAAACTGATAAAGACCATCAAGATTGATGAATGCGGTCTTCTCGCGGTCCATCTCATCGACGGCTATCTGCC